GATTTCACTCCTAAAAGAACTGAAAAGGAAGATGATATAATGTCTCAGCTGTTCAGACATTTGCTTGTTCTAACACTGTACCACACAAATATTGGTCTTACAAATTTATGTTGTTCGATGGTGGTACACCCAAATGTAATTCATATTTGACAAAGGACCATACAGCTTGTATGGTGGTCCTTGGTATTTAATGAATTGATATAGAATAAATTTGACAATCATTGGAAACTATATGGAAGGCCTTACTAGGGGAAGCCTGCAAGGAAAGCTCAAACCAGGACTACGGCTCCTCAAGTGGCATGCTTGTTTCTTGACTAAGGTTCCCTGACCAAGCAAGTCTGACATAGGCATATATTATTATTATTTGGAGTTATCTCATGAAATAAACTTTTCTCATGTGGGCAGCAAATTTTATTTTTTGTTCTGTGGGCCAAAAATCTTTGTGGTTTGTAAGGGTAGACTGCTTTTGATGTAAGTTCAGTATATCGATTTATGAATTGTAGGTTTGAACCATTAAGCCATGGCCTAGTTTTGCTCGGACCATGGAATTCACATATGAGATGGGGTATTGAAATAGCAAATCTGTTAGGTTTCAGATCCCTTCTTTTGTTACCATGGAATCCACATATGAGAATGGGTATTAAAATAGCAAATCTGTCGGGTTTCAGATCCTTTTTTTTTCCCTAGTTGTATCTTAAAAGCATATTACAACTAGCTGTAGTGGGAACCAGAGATTATGATGCTCTCTCACCTTCATTAAGAGAGGTATAACATGTCCTGAGTCTTATCCCTACAAGATATATTTTACTTGTACTTCTGGATTGTCAACTAAGCAGTAAATCATCTGTGGTTTTACTGTTTACTGAATTCACTGAGTTACACAAGTCAAAATTAGGGGTCAAGAAGGCCTCTGACTACAACATTTTGGTTTCTTCTTAGCTTATTATTCCTTAAAATGTCAGTTATTGGTCCAGCGCTAGTATAAGATAGAAACTTCTCCTGAGTGTTGACTGCTTCACATGAGGTAACACAAGCTATATGAACATGCTTTCTAACACTTGCAAAAGCCTAATAGTCAGCAATATGCTTCCATGTTTTGTTTTAGACACTAAAATGTTTTTTCGTCTTTGTAGTAGCAAATTATTCATTATGTTTGACATCTAAACTGAAGCAGTTAAAATCTATTACTATTGATGGATCTTCTACAGATTGTTTCTTCTTGGACTTGAAAAATATGGCAAAGGTGATTGGAGGAGCATTTCTCGAAACTTTGTAATATCGAGAACACCTACGCAGGTCGCAAGCCATGCACAGAAGTACTTCATTCGTTTGAATTCCATGAACAAAGAACGCCGAAGGACCAGCATCCATGATATCACCAGTGTCGCCAATGACGATGTATCAGCTCCTCAGGGGCCAATCACCGGACAGAATATCGGGTCGGTTGCAAGTACAGGGAAATCTATCAAGCAATCTCCTCAGTCATCAAGTGGTGCTCCTGGTGTTGGCATGTATGGAACCACCATTGGACAGCCTGTTGGTGGTCCTCTCACAGCAGTAGGTACTCCAGTTAATCTTCCTGTTCCTGGAGCACCTCATATGGCCTACGGCATGCGGGCCCCAGTTTCTGGAACTGTGGTCCCTGGTGCCCCAGTGAACACCCCACCAATTGCACATCCAATGCCTCCAGCATCATCCAACAGATAGTAGCAGTATGTTCTTGTGGACAGAAGACAGGAAGGGCTACTTGGTCTCATGCATTCTCATCATCATCAATTCAGATCAACTGATAGGTACAAGGACATATTCTTCTAGTTATGTTGTAGTCTCAGAGTTAGATATTGTTTAATTGTTTCATGTCTAAATGGCAAGGGGAACATCGATTTATGTACTTGATGTGTTCAAGAGTGGCTGCAGATAAAGACAGACAAGAGCAGCTCTTAGACTAATGTTAATCCTGTCTCTTGTATGGTGGCTCTTTGATCCTAATGCAGAAACAGAAGTGCAGGTTCAGATGCTGTTGCACCAGTCAATTTTGGGAGACCTTTTTTTGTCTCAACTCCAATAAGACTAAATCATATACAATATATACGTAGAGATTGCACTATTAATCTCTGGTTATGTTCTGGTTTTAGTCTCACAAACTGAAATAAAATGAATAGGTTCCAATTACCTCAACATACAGAAATAAAGATGACTGGACAACTCTCTGCAGTAATTTATGGGTCCCATGGATGATTTATGAACTGATAAAGATAACAATGGTTCAGACATGGGTGTTGATTGTGACCCCAACAAATCTTATCTAGACTTTTATATTTCTTGGTTGGAAGAGACAAGTTCTAGTGGGAGGCCTTTAGGATACCCTTCCCAAATGCAGATGGATAGAGAAATATTTGTGTTGGGTCTCACAGTGCATCTGGTTTTTCTGTTTCCACAGATTGATCACAATCAGTTTCCTTTCATCAGAAGTCTGCCTTGATCACTTCCTCCAATCTGATTCAGCATGAACTATTTACACTTCTCTCCAGCTAAGCAAAGAAATCTGAGTCTAGTCTCTGGCTGAAAAGCTTCTACAAAGTCACCAAACAAGGACAGCTTAGTGAGCTGCTGACTCACTCTTGGGTCAGCCATGCTGCATGCTGCCATGGAGCATAATATGATGACTTCAAGTAATTAGTTTCGAAAAGAGACTGGAGGTGCCTTTGCTCAATGTAAGCACATGGCATGTCTCTCTATGTTACGAGCAAGAGACTTGATCTATTTCTAACTTCATAATAAGATGAGAAGATTCATCAATGCTAGCTGGATGCTTTGATGAGAACATGTTCACTTGATTAATGCTGCAGAATTGATGATGAAGATCAAGTGCATGAGAGCTTTGGGGACTTTCCTTTTCTTCTCTTGAAAGTTTCTTTAGCTGATGATGAATTGATGATTCACCTTTCTTTTTCTTTTCTGGCTTCATCATATTGCCTTTATAGCTGATGACCCCATGCTGACTCTGCTTCACCTTATAAAAGGCTTCCTCACTGGTCTATTGGATTCAAGAATCTCTTCCTCTCTCCTCTCTGCTAGTGGAAGCAGTTCTGGTGCATCATCTCAGCATGAAGAACACAAACCATGATCAAGCTGTAGGCATTCCTATTAGGTCGATCACAGCAGAAATGGTTGGAAAATCTCAGCTCAACAGACTCTGTCTGCAATCCACTTCATACAACTCCCAGTATGAACAAAGTAATATCATCTTTCTCATATGTAGTTGTTTACATATTATTTTTATTGTGTTGGAGAAACTCAAAGAGTTATTTTGATGCAGAAGTGGATTCACCTATTGCTTGGATGAGCAAGTTCAGCAAAAAGGCAGACAGCTATGTTAAGGGCATCAAAGATCATGGTGAGTTTACAGCTTCCCTACGGTGAAATGTTCTGCAATGCTGTCTTTAGTATGTTTTGTGTGGCAACTACTTGGGAGTTCATGTATAGAGGTAGAAAACAATTAGTCCTGTCAAAGATAGTTTCCAAGTAGCAAGAGACTAGCATCAGTGACTCGCATCTTTTAATTTCATGTAAAATTGCAGTGAGTTTAGGTCCCAAAATCTCAGAGATTGTGAAGGGAAAACTGAGCCTGGGTGCAAAGATTCTTCAAGCTGGAGGTATTGAGAGAGTTTACAGGCAAAATTTCTCAGTTGAAAAAGGAGAAAAGCTGCTGCAAGCATTCCAGTGCTATCTGTCAACCACAGCTGGTCCTATAGCAGGACTGCTCTTTATTTCAACACACAAGATTGCTTTCAGGAGTGATAGATCCATAAGAATCACTTCCCCCAGAGGAACTTTGGCCAGAGTTCCTTACAAGGTACTTCCTTTTGGAATCCAATCTTGGTGAGGCTATGATTGTAGGAAACAGAGCTGAAAAATGTTCTGAAAGTTCAACTGAATTCAATGATTTCCATTCACAGGTTTTGATCCCAGTAGGCAGGGTGAAAAGAGCCAGCCTCTGTGAGGACTCACAAAAGCCTAACCAAAAATATATCCAAGTAGTGACTGTGGATGAATTTGAGTTCTGGTTTATGGGATTCCTCAGCTACCAAAGATCCTTGAAGTATCTAAGAAGAGCAATTTCAAGATCACAAGGAGTTCTGCAGTAAAACTATTCACTAGATTTTGGAAGCTGCTTTCCTTCATTCTACTCTTTCTGTACATGTAAGAGGTGAAAGTATCATTTCTTCTTCTTGTACTTCCTACTGAAACTACTTTCGGTTTTCGGAAAGTCAGGTTCAGTTCCATTCTGAGAATAGAATCCTTCATCCGTCTCCCGCAACCACTAATGCATAATGCTTAATCATGTAAAACTTCAACTTGTCCTTGGTAGAGTTCATGCTTACAATTTGTGGGACACTTCAATCTTAAGAATTAGGTAGAGAAAAAGAGTGGTAACACAAGAAGAGAATACCATTGATTACAGCCATATTTACAGCCAAGAGAAGACCATTGATTAGTGGTAACACAGAGAAAGTGTGATTGCCATATTTACAGCCAAGTAATGGATGAATTACACAAAAGAGAAGACAATTTGATTAGTCATTAATAGGATGCAGATGACAGCATAAACAGTGTTCAATTGTATTTGATCATAATTGATACAAGTTCAGACATATGGCAGGCAATTGTCTTTGTACTTCATCTTACTTCAATACAACCTCAAGTATCTGCAAACTTCACTAAGCTCTTTCCTTTTTCTACTCCACTAGTTAATTATTCTCACCAGCATTAACAAATGACACATTTCCAAGTTCTACACATATCATACTTGTATGTCCGGCAAATGGTTTGCCACTCAGTTTCTCCATTCAATAAAACGCATGCAATAACATCAACTAAGAGAGCACTGCAACAATTTCAAGAGCAACAAAAAGTTCAATAGGAAAGCGAGAATCTTTCTTCTTTTAAATAAATGTTCTAAAAGTATTCACCAAAAGAAATGGTTTGCTGTAATCTGATGATGCCTGGCATGTGTAAATTAATAGCCAGGAAAAGAATGATATCAATGTAAAAGACAAATCATGATAAAACACTTTTTTATGAAGAATCTCTGCAACAAGTGATAACACAATCCTCCAGAAAGTTAACAAGCTGAGAACTGTAGAGACCTGGATGGCTTCTGAAGTGATCAACATGAGGCGACGACAAAAAATCACATGCCCTGACCTCATGCCCAGCTCTTCTTTGTCTTTCTACAAAGGACTCCACAGATTTTGCAGGAATAACTCTGTCAGCAGAGCTATATATACAACTGAGGGCACTTTGGTTGCTCTGATGTTAGTAAATTTAGCACATCAGACAATCTCCTGTAGAAGTTGCCAGAAAACCATCAATTAGTTACTGGATTTCTATGATTTAGCAGTGGACAAAGATCATAGCACACAAATGACAGCAAATGTTATCAAATATTCAAATGTTCCCATGGAAACAACCTAAACATCTCAGTTTACACGATTTATCCCTTCAAGACTACTTTTAATTTACGATCAATTTATTTGCATGTGATGTCGAGACTCCTCCAGATTGTTTGAGCTTCTGAAGAATTATTCCACCCTCATATAGTCATATTAGCAATTAGGATGAATCATATAAAAGATGCTGATAATTTGCTTGCAGATGAAGACCACACCAGTCAATCTGAAAATAATTTCTACCTGTTGATAGTAGGAAAGTCTAGAACCACCTCAAAGAACTTCTTCAAGGCCACTAACAAAGCAGTTTCGGTGACTGTAGGTTTAGGATCCCCATATGAACCATCAGCAGTTGTCGTGCCCCTTCCTGTAACATTTGAACTCACCATTCCCTTTGTTGCTAAACTCTTCTTTTTCAAAAGAGCAGCAGAAAAGCCTGAAGCCCAAACCTACAACGTTCATGGGTGAAATACTTAGCTCACCAATTTGCAAGAACTAGCAACAATACCAAAAACTGCACCATGACCCTTTCCCCAAAAAATTGCTAGTATAAGCAGATAGCACACACAATGTGTCCTTATATCTGAGCATGACAAAGCTTAGCTTAGTACCAGTAAAACACAGGTGAACTTTCTAGATGTGTAACCATTGGCAATAAAAAATAAAGACAATCAACAGAAGCATGATAAATATAGTGATAGTAAGTCAATTTTATTGAACAATATCACTCTTTTTTCTTTTCAGAGAAACATCACTAATCGGAAAATGATAGAAGCTGACAATACAACGAATAACAAGAACACGTTATAACGTCTCAACTATGTGCGATTGACTACATATATCTTTGGCCATTGAGTTCTATACAAAGCAATGTCCTTAGTGATATTAAGGATATTTAAATCCTTATTTATAGTTTACAATAAAGTCTTGTTAGTTTTTCCTCTACCTCTATCTCTGCTCAAACCACTAATACTACTTGTCTCACCTCTTCTAACTACAACATTTTATCCCCTGATAAGGAGATAAGTCTAGACACAGACAGTGATATAAGAGAAAAGGACATGTCTGAGTTATGACATAAATCTACAAGGCAAGTCTAGAATTGAAGTGAACACAAGCAGATTGCCATTGAACTATACACTAATTATCACAGGTCGCAGCAATGCAAAACATCAACATTGAATACCCGACTAATACTCAAATCGAATGAAGCATAAATCAGAAAACTAGTCCAAATAAAGCCATTACCTTAGGATCGGGCGCTGCATCGGGAGCTGAGTCCACAATGCAACCTTTGATCTTTCCAATTACGGAGGGTTCCTGCTTCTGAAACTTCTGGAGTAATACACCATATCTACGATGCGGAAGGGAAGCATGTCAACAGCAAAATCTCCCGGAAAATGAGGAAAGAGGAAAATGCAAGAACAAGATTCGTGAGAGCACACACATCAACCAGCCTGTGTTACTGAAGGTGTGGAAAACCAAGCTCTTCCCACTCTCCTCCGAGACCCAATCCACCAGATGCTCAGCAAGCAATTCCACGTTCTGCTCAACCTTGCCCCCAACCTTGTAGCTCACGATATCGGACAAGGGGAGCGTGAAAGAGACGACATGAAACCCCCTCGAAGTGTACCAATCTGCATACTTCTTCAGATGCTTCTGCTTAGCTCCAAGCCACCCGAGCAAGATCACCGCAGTCTGAGACTTTGCTTTCGAGCACCCGTTCCTCTCCGCGACTCCGTAGGCTTTGGGGTCGGGCAGATGCCATCGGTAGAGACCATCCGGTTGCGAAGACGCAAGGGTCAGTGTGGACTCGTCGTTCTTTCGAGGGTTAGCTAGCTTCGCGTACTGGTACGGGGTGAGTAAGATAGCCGGCGAAGCAATGGTAAAGGAGGAGCGGACGGAGCGCTTGTTATCGGCGAGCAAGAGCGAGACGTCGGAAATAGACGTTCGACAGGCTGCAGGCTTCGAACACGGTGCCGGGACAGCCGGAGGCGAGGCGTCGGGCTCGGACTGCTTGGAGAGGGAGAAGACGTGGTCGGGCAGCGCCGTGGCGACGGCGACGGCGGCCGCGGCGGAGAGGGGCCGGTGCAGAAGCCCGTACAGGGAAGCCATCAAGACCCAGCGAGAGACAAGTCACTCAACTACTCGGCACGGAGAATGCAACCACCGACCTGCTCGTGTAGGAGAAAGAGATCGATGTTTGCTCAAATGGGTTGATAGATTTGAGCGTCAGTTGGGGGAACGGCGACTCGCTCGAGGGATTTATAGTATTTTTTTCAACAAAATTAATGCAACCATTAAGTCAGCATGTACTCAATGGTAAACCCTATAGTATTTTTTTCAACAAAATTAATAGCATGAGAAAAACAAAGTTAAATATTTGACCTTCTTAAGTTCAAAGATCCCTATATAACTTTTGAAAATATAATAATCGAAATACTAAAAATAACTAATTAAATGGGATAATATATAATTAGTACTTAAAAAATAAAAAAAAAGGTGATGGTGACTCTATTAATAGCCTTTTCATTATTACTTATTTATTTATTTTATGACTATTAATAACCTTAAAAATGCAAAAGATAACAATATTTATTGATTAATCTAGTC